TATTATTATTATTATTATTATTATTATTATTATTATTATTATTATTAACACGCTCTGATGCTAAGGAGTTCGACTCCCCCTACCCACCTGAAAAGAAACCTCTTCCAAATGCAAAACACAAGCAGAGGAGAGGAGTTTCAGTTTCAGTTTCAGTTTTAGTTTCACAGCACCAAGCAGCTTTAGTACAGAACAGTTGAGCTAAGCCACGCCCAGGCTCCTTGCTGTCTCCTTCTTGCTCACATAGTTTCAGTTTCTCAACTCTCTCACACACTGACAGGACGCTAGCCAGATGAATACTGATGGATGCTGGTAGGCAGAGGCAGAATTTTTTCGCCCTTATTTTCCTCCCCAAAAACTAAGCCCAACCACATAATTTCGTAGCGAAGCATGGGTATCGAGTTAATTATTTATAACTCAAGTCAGCAAACATGCCTACTCCTTCCTCCTATTTTCCTCACAACAACAACAACAACCCTGTGAGGTGAGTTGGGCTGAGATGACTGCCCAAGGTCACCCAGCTGGCTTGCATGGCTAAGACAGGACTAGATCTCCCAGTCTCCCGGTTTCTAGCCTGTTGCCTTAACCACTAGACCGAACTGGCTTTCTTTACAATTTATTATACTTTCCATAATAACACAGATTCACTTTTTGAATGCAAAAGGAACTGGATGGCGCCAACAGTTAGCGATGACAAATTCGTCACTAATCGGATACGAAATACTTAAAACTTTCTTTATGACACCTTTATGACACTAATACAAAAACGTCTACAACACTTAGCCTCAGGCATTTGTCTGAGGAATATTCCAGCCAGTAATAAATTTTCCTGGCACTTCTTGAAAAGTTACAAGCTTCTCTGAAAAATTACAGGCAATCCACACGCAATCCTGCCCTGATCTGGTGGCTGATTTTTCTATTTTAACTCCAGCCAAGATAGAAGTTCTTAGATGAGGATTTGGCAACCGAAACAGAGAATTGAAGGGCTGAATTTCACAACATTTACTGTACTCAAAATTCCTCTGAACAGAACGGTGACATTTTTTTATCTGGATCTAATCTGGAATCTGCATCACATTGATTGGAGAAGGTTGTTCTCATGCTACTTGGTATGTGTGTGTGTGTGTGTGTGTGTGTGTGTGTGTGTGTTTGTGTGCGGAATGGAAGACCCGCCATGAAGGGGTATTCTTGCTACTGTTGTTTTTATGAGCTGGTGAATTTCCTCCCTGAATTGTTAACCACAAATTCTCAATTGCTTCTTTAACATCTCATCGGTGTTGTTGGGACTGGAGGCTAAAACATACAATGAATGGTTGCAGGAACTGGGCTTGGCTAGTCTAGTGAAGAGAAGGACCAAGGGAGACAGGATAGCGGTCTTCCAATATTTGAGGGGCTGCCACAGGGAGGAGGAAGGGGTCAAGCTATTTTCTAAAGGGCCTGTAGGCCAGACAAGGAATAATGGATGGAAACTGAACAAGGAGAGATTTAACAAGGAGAGATTTTAAGGAGAAACTTTCTGACAGTGAGAACAATCAACCCATGGAACAGAAGTTGCCCTCGGAAGTTGTGGGAGTGCCATCACTTGAGACTTTCAAGAAGAGATTGGACTGCCATTTGTCAGAAATGGTGTAGGGTCTCCCGCTTGGGCGGGGGGTTGGACTAGATGACCTACAAGGTCCCTTCCAACTCTGATTATCTGTATCTGTATCTGAATTCAGACTGAACATTCTTATTACTTACGCTGTCCACAGTGTGTTCCGGTGTATCCCTTTTGACAGAGGCAATGATCATCACTGCACGTCCCGCCATTCATGCACCTGATGTTGCAGTGTTGCACTTGAAAAGAAAGACAGTCCGTTATTTATGGGTCTGTACAACATCTACACACAACAGATGCAATCAACGTCCACGCTTGGGTCTGCTGATGACATCCTAAAAGGCGCAGGCAGAATGCTACCCTTATCGCCGTTGGAGAATGGAGTGGTGTGGTGGCCCAGAGGTGGAGCTCTTGCCTCACAATCAGGAGGCTGTGAGTTCGATCCTAGGTAGAGAACAGATATTTCTCTCTCTGGGCACAATGAGAATGTATCTACTGAACAAAACTCCACATTGGCAACAGGAAGGGCATCCGGCCTGTAAACACTCTGCTAGCTCCCTTCAGTTGCCTAGACTTCACCCCGCAAGGGATTATTAAAAGGGTCATTAAAAGATTATGATAGTGGCCTTTGGAGAAGAGCAATAGCAATAGCACTCAGACTTATATACTGCTTTATAGTGCTTTATAGCCCTCTCTAATTGGTTTACAGAGTCAACATATTGCCCCCCAACAATCTGGGTCCTCATTTTATGGAAGGCCTGGTGGGATTTGAACTGCCAAATTGCAGGCAGCTGGCTGCAGAAGTAGCTTGCAATACTGCACTCTAACCACTGCACTACAGAGGCTCCTCAATCAGAATACTGACTGTAGGGAAGATTCAGGAGAAAGCTAGCAGGTGAAAACTAAAAAAAAACTTACATGGAAAAATGTCAATATCAAAGGTGCATATGATTTTTAAAGAAAATATCATGCAAATATTAATGAAAAATATCGTGTTTCACTGTTTATTGTATTTCAATGCCACTAGCAAGTTGCCCATATAGGAAATCTAGCCACCTAGCAAAATTTGAAAGCATAGTTGGCCAGGTACTAGTAAACTAGAAAGTGACACCTGGTTGTTGTCAGTGGGTGGGGAAACAGAGAAATCTTGCAATTTAATTCTCTACTTGTTCTACAAGTAGATGCCACTTAAAGCAGATGCAGAGTGTAAAGACTGCAAAAAGAGTTCCAATATAAAAGTAATAACCTTCAAAAGGACAAGGCCATGGAACTGTGATTTCTAAACCACAAAGCATAACCAACCCAAAAGTATGACTAACCCTTGATGTTTAAGTATCCTCCAAACTATGATGTAAGAAGATGCTGTGATTTTACTTTTAGGATTCAAGCATTGCAAATATGCTGGGATTAATGAACATTATTTGCTATCTCAGCTTTTTCCTGGGAACTCAAATCAAGTGTACATAAGAGTCTTTGGTAATTTTAATCTCTCACAAGAATAATTTTATAAGGTAAATTAGGTTACATAAAAATTTCTGGTCTAAACTCTTGTAAAAAGTCCCGTGGAAGGGTAGAACTTTATCCTGAACCTGCCAAAAGCAATACTTGGGATTTTATGGCAGGGGTGTCCAACCTTGGCAACTTTAAACCCTGTGGACTTCAACTCCCAGAATTCCACAGCCAGCCATGTGGGAGTTGGAAGTTCACAGGTTCTTAACATTGCCAAGGTTGGACATCCCTGCTTTATGGGGTGTCTTTGCACAGAAAAACCCACACCGACCTATTCATTTACAGCGTGCTAAAGGAAGATTCCCACATTATGCTAAGCTTGGTCACAGCATGATGTAAACCCAGCCGCTGTGAAATCTGCAAAAGTCGGACAATTAAATCAATGGGACCTCAGGCCAAACTTGTTCTCCTCTGTGCCTCTTCATATAGGTTTTTTTTTCTCTTAATGGCACCAATAGATTTTATGTTGCTACAGCAAGAAGCTTCAAAGGAGCTACTTTTGATCCAAACCACAGCCCAAAAGCAGATGGACACGTCCATTTTTCTGTTTGTTCTGATCCCAACGAGTAGAAGCCCACCCAGAAGTAGCTATCTACATTTCTGAAAAATCGTCCTTTTTAATATTAAGCTACATATCATTCCACTTACACTTTGGCTCTTAGTAGGACTTAATTTTAGCAAGAGAAAAAAAAACACCAACCACCTTAAGAATAATTAGGTGGCAGATACCATCTATTCCATCCTAATCTGATCAGGGGCAGAGGTAGTGATGGCCATAGCTTGAAAAATGGTTCAATTAAGCTTTATAGCATTGTAAGAAAACAGGCCTGATTAGAAAACACATAGGAAATGATATCATCTGTCAGACAGGGTAGAAACATAAAACCACAAAACTGATTTCAATTAGAGTAGAGCGTGCCAAAAGCTAACTTCCATTCCCACATAATTACCAAAAAAGCCACTCAAATATTTTCAAATAAGTTTAGCGTAGCTTCAATACAGTGTCATAGATTCATATATAGTCTGTGTATAGATAGTCGTCAACTTAAAAGAGTTCGTTCAGTGACTGTTCAAAGTTATAATACCACTGGCCATTTTTCACACTTACAACCGTATTCTTTAACTATATTCAAAGGCATGTTCTCACTCCAAAGAAAACTATTTCTTATGTATTCATTCATTGGCAAGCTAGATGCTGTACTTGAATCACCATTTTCAGTGGGATTGTTTGAAACTCCAGTGGGTGGGGTTGTAATTGTACAATATGTTGAGTCTTGTAAGTAAATGTTTACTTATACTATTTTACGGTAAATGTTTTCTTTACTGTTACAGTAAAGTGGAAAGCATGGCATCTATTCAAATCGACTCTGTAAGTTTCACGGAAGGCTGCATGCCCCACAATATCTCCGTGTTAACCACCGGTAACAACACATTTCTAGTTTCAAGAATTCCAACATCAGCCTCTCTTGGAGGACCTACAGAGTTTCCTGTGAGTTTCCACATAGCCCTAAAAATTAAACAATAAACTGAATTTTGTTTGCTTAGAAGTCATCAAATTGAGCCTAACCACAGGTGAAAGCATGGGTAAATACCCTTTCGTTCAATTTGATCCCAGTAATAACCCAAACCATTTACAAGAAAATGAATTAAGGTGGACTTCCCACAACAAATAAAAATAAGTCAAAATGAAGTTTGGTAATGTTTAATATTTTGTTATGTTAAAGGACTTAGTATTGCTTTAACACATTTTATGAACACATAATTTATGGGTGTTTTTTTCCAGGTTAAGATTAAGTAAATGAGATAAACCCAGCATGAGTAGGAAGCTACAAATTTTTGTTTAATTTGCATTTTTAAAAGAAGTCAACCTAATTCACCGGGGCAAACAGAATGATAGAAACACGGTTAATCTTTGTACTATGCATCTCCTAAAAATTTGCAATGCAGTTCTTGGCTTCTGAACTACACTCAGTAATTTGGAATATCCATGTAGGAGAAAATTCAACAGAATAAGTATACAAAGAGGGCACATATTCAGGGAAAACACATACAACTGAAATGCAAACTCAACGGATCCTCTCAATTCAGAAACCCTGACACACACACACCCCCAAAGCTTCCCCGGAATAATTTTGGCACGGGGGGGGGTCACTTTTAAAGCTGAGGAAAAGCACTAGCAAAGCAATCAGACAATTCTGTCGCTACTTATTGAATCCCAAGTGAAATTGGTGACTGTAACCTCCTCAAAGAAAGAGAGGGAAAAGAAATTAGCTCACATAATCTGCTGTTCATTTATGCAATTCTGGGCCACGAGAAAGTGGCCACGAACATGGATCTACAGAACAGGGCTCCAGAGGGAAGCTGAGACAATGGTTTGTGGTTTGTGAGGAACAGACACTGACGGATCTTGGTGCTCTCTGTTTGTTTTCTTGCAGACGTTTCATTAGCCAAACTAGGTAACATCAGCAGTGCTAGTAAGGTGTGAGAGGAGGAGGAGGAGGAGGAGGAGGAGGAGGAGGAGGAGGAGGAGGAGGAAGAGGAGGAGAAGGAAGAAGAAATCTTGGTGCTCTCTGAGCTTGGTGCTTTTCTTGCAGACGTTTCATTATCCAAACTAGGTAACACCATCAGTGCTAGTAAGGAGTGAGATTTTCAGGGAGGAGGAGGAGGAGGAGGAGGAGGAGGAGGAGGAGGAGGAAACCTTGGTGCTCTCTGAGCTTGGTGCTTTTCTTGCAGACGTTTCATTACCCAAACAAGGTAACATCATCAGTGCTAGTAAGGAGTGGGGTTTGCTGTCAGTTTATATTCTGGTGTTGATCTGGGTGCTGATTGCTGGTGGAGAGATGCTTGGATCTTTTTGTTCCCCTTTTGGCTGGTTGATTGTTTCTTTTGCATAGTCTATAGATGTTCTTAATGTCCATGTGTCTATCGATGGCTGATTTGACAGAGTGCCAGGCTTCTAGAAATTCCCTGACGTTTTTGGACTTGGCTTGTTCTGGGAGGATCACATTTTCCCAGTTGAAACTGTGGTTAAGTCTGTCTCTATGTTGTGAAATTAAAAGAGTTTTCATCACGTTTTCTGACTGCCGGTTGGTGTTCCTGGATGCGTCCTGCCATCTCTCCACCAGCAATCAGCACCCAGATCGGCATAGGTTAACTCCAGGATTAAAATCAGACCAACAATCAAGTAAACAGTATCCCAATCAAGAAGCTGGCAATGAAGCCAACAGTAAACAGCCCAACCAAAGAACCTCTAAGACCATCCCGACCAACACCGACAGGGCAAGACACTAGAATATAAACTGACAGCAAACCCCACTCCTCACTAGCACTGATGATGTTACCTAATTTGGGTCATGAAATGTCTGCAAGAAAAGCACCAAGCTCAGAGAGCAACCAAGGAGCCCTCATGTCCACCCTGAGCTACAAATATTCTCCCTTATTGGAACAGAGACTGCTAGGAGGTAACAACAGGAGTGGGCTACGGGTTGGAAGCATCTGGATGAACTAACAAGCTGGACTCTTGGCCAGACTAATGGATCTGCGCTTCCATCTCATCCACAATCTCTTTGAAATCCTTATGGAAGAACGGAATTGCGGGAAACATCTGTGAGGTCTAAGAGGATAAATGCAGAGGAGGATCCGGAATTTTATTTTATTTTTATTTTTTTTTACCAAAAGGCATTCATGGCTGTCTTCACCAGCCTTGTCCCAGTGCTGAGGTCCAGGCAAAGAACAGATGTAAAGTTTTAAGCATTTCAGGCTGTTGCTTAGTTGAGAGAATGGTGTGTGGGGGATGGGGAAATCTTATGATGGTTCACAATCTTATTTATCAATGAACCACTGGAAAAGTAAGTCTAAGGTTGAGCAATAGAGAAAGAGTCAACGAGAGTTTAAATTTTTTCAAGTGTGGCTTCCTCCAATTGGTGTCTCCCGAATACAGGTATTCCTTGACTTTACAGCAGTTCGTTTAGTGGCCGCTCAAAGTTACAACGGCACTGAAAAAAGTGACTTAGGGCTGTTTTGCGCACTTATGACTGCTGCAGTGATCAAAATTCACTCTTGGCAGCTAACTCATATTTATGACGGTTGCGACATCCTGGGATCACGGGATCCCCTTTTGCGGCCTTCTGAAAAGCAAAGTCCATGGGGAAGCCAGATTCCCTCTACAACCCTGTTACTTAACTGAACATCTGCAGTGATTCCCTTAACAACTATGGCAAGAAAGATCATAAAATGGAGCAAAACTCACTTATCAAATGTCTCACTTAACAACAGAAATCTTGGGATCAATTATGGACGTATCCAGTGGTGGTATTCAGCCGGTTCACACGAACCGGGAGCAAGGATTTGGCGTGGGTCGCTGGACCAGTATTAACATCTGGCTGGCCACGCCCCCAACCCAGTTGCCCGGTTGCTGCTCACTTGCTTGCCCCGCCCGTCCGATGCCCGATGCTCATTTACCCTGACTGCCCAATCCTCGCCTGCCCAGTCACTCCTTAAGGTATTTCTTTTTTTTTTAATCTCCCGACAATCAGCTGTTCCTACAAACAGCTGTGCCAGGATTCCCCTCGCTTTTTACTGCTACACGCAGGAAGCTCCCATTTTTTGCCTTCCTGGGCCCCAGGGAAGCTTCTTGGGAGCAAAAACGTCCCCCTAGAGGCTCCTCTGAGGCCAGGAAAGCCCCAAAACGGAGCATGGAGTGCTGTGTGCTGTGTGCCTCTCCTATGCTCTGTTTTTTTTTTTCTTCCTGAGGCCCAGGGGAGCCTTCTGAGAGCAAAAATGCCCTCCCCCTGAGGTCAGGAAGGTCCAAAAAATGAGGTGGGGGTAGGGAGGGTGCTGCAAAAAAAGCCATGCCCACCCAATCACATGGCCATGTCCACCTAGCCACACCCACCTAGCCATGCTACAGAACCAGTAGTAATTTTTTTTGAATCCCACCATTGGTCGTATCTCAAGGACTACCCATACGTTGGGTTGCAATTCCCCCTCATACTTCTCAGACTCAGGAAGATGGGAATTATAGTCTAAGAATCTGGAGCATATTTCAGGTCAAAAACTTGTGTTTTAATAAGTAAAACATTTTCCTGAAACTCCTTTTTTTCCTGGCATGGGATTAGTGAAGCAGAGGGCTGAATTCGTTATATGGACCTAATTAAACAATGCCCAAAAATAATTTAAAGAGCACCCCTGCAGTGCAAATAAACCAGCAAGTAAAGAGAGAATAATTTATTAGATTTATGTCCTGTCTCTGGATCAAAAAGAATTGTATTCAACTTTGGCCAACAACGACAATAACAAAAAGGAAACAAAACTACATATGAATTCAAAACACAATTTAAAAAGAACGCAACTGTAAATACAAAACACCAGCCATCTAATAAAAGTAGAATTGGGCTACTGATCTCACACAACACTGGGAAGCCAACCAACATGAGATCTAAACATTCATGCTGCCTACAAGAGACATTAACTTTCTATTTGCATGGTATTAATTTTATTCTACTTAATGTAAATGTTTACCCTCCTTTTCGCTTTCGGCTCCTTTACGAACTCATAAAACAGTTCCAGATGAGCCTAATGCATCTGAATGTTAATTAATACCATTTCCTGAAAAATTAGGTCACTGAACACCCCTATACATGCCTCTCAATTCTGCTTGGAAGCCTCTAGTGAAAAAATGACCAGATCTTACAGGACTCACAAAAATTGTAGTTTGTTCATTTCTATAAAAAAAAAAAAAGATTGATGTGTCAAGTGTAAATTAGAAGAAGAAATCAAAATCTGCCATGATAGGATGTTGTTTGTTATCTTTAATATGACCATAAGGAATGCTTGCAAGTAACTCAAACCTAGGTACTACATCAGGACATCCAACCTTGCCAACTTTTAAAACTTACGGACTTCAACTCCCAGATTTCCCTAGTTGGCTGGGGAATTCTGGGAGTTGAAGTCCTCCCGCCTTAAAGTTGCCAAGGTTGGGCAGCCCTGCATTAGATTCTCTTAGTTGTGGGCAAACACAGATCGCTGTTTAGTTGTCTCAACTACTAAGATATGAGGAAACCATCAACAACCTGTTCTACTAGGTTAACCATCCAAGCAGAGACGACCGATCCAAATCTTGAATGCATACCTGATTTTGAGCCGCAGGATGGAGAAATCTGGCCATTTGGACACGTGCACATGTTTGGCCTTGAGCAAAATCCATCTCCACAGGAATGTCTGCAAATCGCTGTAAATAAGAAAGAAAAGGATAACACTTTCAGAGATACTGACTGGTGAAGTGAGAGGCTGATGAATGACTGAACTCTTCAGACTATCAAACCCTTTTTGGATTGACTGATCTTCAGAGACCCTTTGTCAAACTTAAGAGTCAAGGCTCACATTATTTTTGTCACTGCTGCTGCTGAAGCCCATTATGCTTAAGTATAGAGCTGGAAAGAACCTTGGAGGTCTTCTAGTCCAGCCCTCTGCTCAGGCAGGAGACCCTATACCACTTCAGACAAATGACTGTCCAGTCTCTTCTTAAAGACCTCCAATGATGGAGCAGCCACAGCTTCTGAAGGCATCTGTTCCACTGGTTGTTCTCACTGTTAGGAAGTTTCTCCTTAATTGCAAGTTGCTTCTCTCCTTGATTCGTTTCCTTCCATTGCTTCTTGTCCTGCCCTTTGGGGCTTTGGAAAATAAGTTGACCCCCTCCTGTTTGTGGCAGCCCCTCAAAATACTGGAATATTGCTATCATGTCCCCCGAGTCCTTTCTTTCTCTAGACTAGCCAAGCCCAAATCCTGCAACCATTCTTCATACGTTTTAGTCTCCAGGCCTTTAATCATCTTAGTTGCTCTTCTTTGCACTTTTTCCAAAGCCTCAACATCTTTTTTTCTAATGTAGTGACCAAAACTGGATGCAGGATTCCAGGTGTGGGCTTAATAAGGATTTATAAAGTGGCATTAAGACTTCACGTGATTTTATATATACGATGCCATTCTTGACGAGTGGGTGTCCAATCGCTTCCTCAAAACCACCAGTGTTGGTGCACCCATAACTTCTGGGGACAGGTTGTTTCACTGATTAATTGTGCTCCCTGTCAGGAAATTTCTCCTTAATGTAACTGTATTTTGACTTTTTAAAAATAAGAATAAAATTTAAAAACAGTAAAACAAATGAGAGATTTCCTAATAAAATCAGCAGAAATAACAACTTACGGACAATACATTGATTTCCACCAGGTAAAGTTTTCCACCCAGGACAGCAATATGCATTGTAACGTGATCCACATACGTTAGGTCTGTAAGAGAGAGAGAAAACAAAAGGAAATTTTGTCATTCTTCAAATTCTATTCATGAGTTCACAAAACCATCATCATTTGGTCACCAAATTATTGTAACTCATTTTCTAGGACTGAAAATACACCATAAATACGTTGGGTTCACAAAATATCGTAAGCTTCAAAATAACCAATCATTAATATCAACACAGATCTATAATATACATTAAGCCATTGTGAGAATTCTGCATTTTCCTTTGTAATTTCATTCACAGTTAACAATTATGCCACATTTTTAAAGAACTGTGAAGAACCATTATTTAAGATACCTATATAGTCTATCCAATGATCAAATGTGCTTGGTAATGTCACAAGCATATGTTTTGATACTTCTTACCCTTTGTAGCTTACTTATTTATATCAAATGTCAGGTGAGAATGGAATGGGATGGGGTGGGATGGGATGGAATGGAATGGGATGGAATGGAATGGGATGGAATGGGATGGGATGGGATGGAATAGGATAGGATAGGATAGGATAGGATAGGATAGGATAGGATAGGATAGGATAGAATAGAATAGAATAGAATAGAATAGAATAGAATAGAATAGAATAGA